GCCCTAGGCATCCTCCTATCTCTACTTCTCCATCGTGCCACTATGCCTGGCATTTTTATGTGAGCTCTGGAGATGGAACTCAGATCCTCCCACTTACAAGCTTTGACTCATCTCTATGGATCCAAACACTGTTGCCGCTTTAAGAATTATGGAATATCCAAAAAGGAAAAAAATACATATTCATCTCTACCTGGTACTTTCTGCTTTGGCCATTGCTATTTGTGGAAATCATGCTAAGCTTCCTCTATTTCCCTTAAAAACAAAAACAAAAATACAAACAAGACAGGCAGAACAAGCTTTCAACAACTTACCCACATTCATTAATGACTCTGTATTGAAACGTCTACGTTGCTTGAAAAGACAGAGTTTAAAGAACTACAAGTCATGCCTACCAAAAGTGTAGAGGTGATTCAAAATGGACACTGCCTTCTCTGAAAAGCTAGATCTCAAATGCTCTTTCCAGGATGCCATTTTATATTTCAAGTCTAGAAAATTTGGTGATGCAGAAGGCAAAGGTGAGTTTAAAAGGGTAACCATACCTGATGGGACCGCCTCTTTCACGAACTCAGGGTAAACTACCAGGTAACCAAAGAACTGACCAATCAGGTGAGGAAAGTCAGATGTCTGGCTTCATGGACACCCAAGCAGTCAGTTAACTGGCTCCATTTTTCACTTTCAATTGATTGATTCTGCATCATACAGACCTGGCCTTCTTGGATCTGGGCTTACATAGTGACAACCAATAAGGTGACCTAGGTCCAAAACACAAGCAGGTAATGACCACTGCAGAGTCAGCTTCACGATGGAGATAGAAAGCTTAAACAACTCTGGGGGAGAATCCCAGGTTGAAAAGCACAACATGAAAAGAGAAAGCTCAGGTTTTGTAAGCTGGCTCTACTGCCATCCCTAGGCGTGAAACTGTAAATTAGAGAATGCTCTGTATCTGCTGCACTGAGCCAAAGCAGACACATCTCACAGACACACTTTAATTGGGGGTTTCATTCTAACTGAAGAAGTAAATTCCACCTCAGCAGATGCTCCCCCCACCCCACTCCACTCCTACCCCCACACACTTCCAGTGACATGTTTTGCACATTGGCAAGTGGATACAAAATACCTGCAACACAGTCTCCTCAGATACAGGATGGAATTTCCCAGTTTTAAAATGGTAACAGATGTAGTTTCGGCTCTAATACACATTGGACTCTGTCTCAAAAGAAAAAAAAAATTACCATCCTCCCCAGCTTTGATAAAATGTCACAGAATAACTAAAACCCTTCCCTTCAAGAATGATCTGTAGCTAGGATTTTATTTGTTTGCTTGGTTTGGGTTTGGGTTTTTTTTGTCTGTTTGCTTGTTTTTATTTGCATGGTTTTAATGCTGAATAAATGCGTCATTTGTTCCCAGATTTCTGGGTCTATATTTCAACAACCTGCACCTTCATTATATTTTTCACTTGCTTGTTTATAATGAGAGGCATCATAATCATGTTTCTTGTGAAAATGAAAGTAATCAAAATGCCTTGTGATTCCAGGAAAGGAGCCTCTAAGTAGATATGCCTGCCTGCTATTGATGTTGTAAAAAGGTTTCTTTTACATGGTATTAGATGTTGAGAGCACATCATATTGATCTAGAAATAAAAAGCTTGATTTTTTTAGTACAGTCAACCCTTACCTTCATAAGCACTTTATAACACTAAGAAGAGGGTTTTATTTTTAATTGAGGTAGAGTAAACAAATTATACTTGAAGAACGTTGCTATTTTTAGAGAATGAAGGATTTGTAAGCTTTTTGGCAGCAATTCAGGTAAAATCATGAATAAGTCTCACTCTTTCAAATTTGGCCCAGGCCTCTTCTCAGCGAAGCTCGGCCCAAATCCTGAGATAGGATTTCAAACTACTGCTTTTGTTTTCTCCTTTTTCTTCATAGGAACAGTTGGGAGCAATTTTCATATTCATTTGCCCATGCTCAGACGCTGAAGAGGCAAACGAGATCAGCAAGGCTCTAAAGCATACATTGTACGTGCCCCTGGCCGTGGCTGCGCTGGAAGCTGCAAGCCCTGGTTTCACGCACAGCTCAACAGCACTTCCCACCAGACCGCTTCGGTAGCAGGTAACGCCCCTTCCCCTAATGATATACATCTTTCATTTGTTTTTGTACTTTATCTTAAAGTTCATACCGCACCACTGGAGGAGGAAATCAATACCTCATATCATCCCCTTTCCCCGCCATCAAATTCCACTGTATTCAGAGCTCCCCAGTACCAGTATGTGAGCTAATCACCCTCCACAGAGCAGCGCCAGCTGGTTTATCAGAAATCCTTTCCATTTTCTTAGCAACATGAGTCTCCTTTTCCAGAAGAAAGATGTTGCCTTTGGGGGAAAATACTTATCCTAACCAAGTTAAACTAACTTTACCCCGAGAGAAGCAGATAGTTTTCCTCTTTTGAAAACTATCCCCCCCCCGCACCGCCCCCGGTGAGGACTCCCAACCTTGTGGGGACTCCCAATCTTGTGCCCTACAAACCTGCCCTGCACTCCCTCCCACCTCCTCCGGTTTCCAAGGAGTTTACAGGCGATTGCCTGTCTGGGCGAAATCCGGCCGCGGCCCTCCACGTTTCCACGCTCTCGATGTGTTTCCTATCTCATTAAGGATGCTGCTAAACCTCCCGTGGCTCTCAAGCGGCAACACTGCTTGCCTCCCGACACCGGGTCTCCCAGCTCTCCTCCTCCGGAGGAATACCAAGTGGCGGAGTTGCGGCTCCCTGAGGTGCAGGTCTGAGGCACGCGCCTGGAAACTTAGCCTAACGCTTCTGACTCCAGGAATGGGGGGCGCGGCGCCGCCGAGGAATCCCGAAGCCGGGCCGGTGGCGGGTGTGTGCTTCAAGCCTGGGTCCCCGCCTCGGTCCTCAAAGGCTAGCTGGGGTTGGCTTCTGACTCATCGACAAGCACACGCGCGCGGACACACACAGACACACACACACACACACACACACACACACACACACACACAGATACCAACACGGGCGCACGGTTGCTGGCTCCTGGACACGAGTCTGCCAAGCCCAAGGGTCGGTGGCTCCCGCAACCCCAAGCCGGTCTAGGAAGGCGTGGAAAGAGCACCCACGGCCAGTCCCTCGGGGTGGCGTGACGCGGAGGAAAGCCTCCCCCACCCCGCCACGCAAGCCACCTGCAGCCAAAGCGCCTTTTGACCCCATCTATGACTTTTCAGGGTCCTCAACTCCAATCGTTTGTGCGACCCCCTCCGCAGCTCCTGCAAGTTTTCGCTGGCGGCTGGGCCTGCCCTCTCCCTGCGCCCCGGGGCCCCAAGCCCGGCACTCGGCCGGCTGATCCAGGGACCGCCAGGCAGCTGGCCGGAGCTCGCCGCGATCTCGGGCCGAGAGGTGGCTGCAGGAACCTCTCGGAGCTCCGGGCAGCTTCGGTGTTATTCACCGATCTAGAGGGCCCAAGCCGGAGACGAGAGGTCGCCACCTGGCCACTACTACTTTGGCAATTTGTGTCTGGGAGACATGGGTGATGCGGGACTACCGGAGGACATTTTTCGGTTGTTTGGCTTTTAGGGTTTTTGCTTCGGATCCCCCCACCCACCCATTCCCTCACCCCCGACTCCCCGGGAGCTCTCAGGGGCGCGCAGAGCTCAGGGCTCGGGAGGGAGCATGCCAGAGCCGGCAACCGAGGCCAGAGGCTGTCGCGGGGGGCGGGGGGGGGGGCTCCCGAGAGAGATCCGAGAAGCCGCTGGACCCAGCTCTCTCCATCAGCATCCTCAGTCTCTCGGGCCCGCGCCCCCGGGAGCGCGCCCTGGCGGGCCCAGGAACTCCCCACTCCTGGAACGGCCCACCGAGTTGCTACTGCCTTCTGCAAGCTCCTCCACCCAGCTTCTGGCCCCAACTTTCCCCCGCCGGACACTCGCGCAGACAGACAGACAGACACACACACACACACACACACACACACACACACACTCCTCCCTCCCTGAACCGCAGCTCCACTTCCCTTGTAGTTAATGACAGATGTCTGTAGACTTTCACCAAACAAGCAGTGGGGGCAGCAGGCTACAACAGTTATTTAATTAAAAGGCATTTTTCCTCTAATTCTTGCTCAAGCTCCCGGAATAGCTCTGGCAACCCCCTCGCAGACCCCAGCACATGTCTGTCTCTCCAGGTAACCCGTGGCCCGCTGACACCCGTCTCCTTCCACGCCCCCACTGTCCGCTTTCACCCCCAGCTTCCCCCGGTCCCCCGAGTCACACCGACACACACACACACACACACACACACACACACACACACACATACACACACACACACCTACAGGCCGGCGGCGGGGAGCGTGCAGGACACGATGCAGCCGGACTGCATTGCACAGTCATCAAAGTTAAGTGTGTGTTTGTGGGGTGCTCGTGCGCGCCCGGGGAGGCGCGGGGTCGAGAGGAGCGGAGCCTGCACTCTGCCTACCCCCCAACCCCCGCGGGTCAGGGGAAGCCTCTACTTGCGATTGCAGCCATTTTAGGGAAAAAGGTGGCTGGGGCCCCTGGGGAGTGGAGAGAGGTACAGCACGTCGCGGGGGGCTAGCCGCTCGGCTGCCCCCGGGCGCAACTGGAGGGCCGGCTGGCGCTGGGCGCACAGGGGCGCCGCGCCCGCGGCGACTTGGGGAAGGTTGCGCTGGAGTTCCCTGCTTTTGCCTGGAGTTGCTTCTTTCTCGGGTTCCCGCTGGGCTGGGAGGATTTTTGGGGGGTGGGGTAGGTGTCCATGGCAGAATGGGCACCGGAGGGACGCGAAAGACCCTGGAACCTGGAGAGCTGGCACTGGGGAGAAGGGGGACACCTCTGTCGCCGGTTGGCGCTGACCCAGACAGTGCGACCCACTTGGTCCCCCATCCTCCCCACCCCCTCCCCGAGCCTCTGTCTCCCTGTCTGGTGCCAAGTGAGCGAGCGACGGGGGGCACGGGGCGCGACGCCGCCTGCCACCGAGACACCCCTTACCTGGTTGGAAGGGGTTTCCCAGGAGGAGTCGTAGTTGTAAAAGAAGGAGAAGGTGTCTTCTGACAGCCCGCAGCCCGCCATGCTCTGGATGCAAATAAAATGAGGAAAGAAAAAAAAAAAAAAGCGCGCACACACACACACACACACACACGCACACACACACACAAAAGCAACCAAAAATGTTCCAAATCAAATGAAATCAATAAGGCAGCTGAAATTCTCCCGCAAATAAAGAAAAGGAGGGGGGAAGGGAATGGCCGAGGGGACGGGAACTCTCGGCGGTGCTCCCTCTCGGATTGAGCAGGGATGCTCGGGCTGCTGCCGCTGCCGCCGCCGCTGCCGCCGCCGCCGCCGCTGCCGCCTTCTCAAGACGGTACCTAGAGAGGTTCGTCCTGACTCGGGCAGCAGCCGCCGCCGCCGCCGCCTGTGCCGGCTGCGTGTGTGCGCGCCCGAATGTGTGTGTGTGCGCGTGTGCGTGTGCGTGTGTGCCGTGTGTGTGCGCGCAGAGCGAGAGACCGCAGGGGAGGCGAGAGGGGAATGAGCGAGCCAGCCGGGATGCAGGGCGCAGAGGCAGAGCGGGCGGGCGGGCGTGTGCGCGCGAGGCTGGGTGAGTGCGTGTGTGCGCGAGTGTGTGTGTGAGTGTGTGTGCGTGTGCGCGCGCGCACTCCTGGGTGTGCGTCTGTTTGGGGAGCTCACCGGAGAGCCGGGGTTGTCACGTGGGCTCCCCGACTCCGCCGGCTGCCGGGGACAGCCTGTACTACAGCCCAGGCCACTAAATCAGCCCGCGCCACCAGACCTTTGCAGCCCCTGCCGCCAGCGAATCTCCTCGGCTTCCCTGCCTGGCTGTGCGCTCCCCGGGACGGCAGGGGGCGCGGGTGCGGCCGTGGGCAGGTGTGAGGACGCTGAGGGGTCGCCCCAAGCCCAATGAGGGGAGAGAAGGATGCCTGGCAGACACACAGCATCCCACTACAGCCGGCATCCTCCTGCAAACCTTCCTCCCACCCTGCTGGAAGATTCTTTTCATCTTAATTCCTAAAATTGCTTTCCCATGCAGGGACCCTTCTACCAGCCACGAGGAAATCATGTTCACACAGTTGCTACGTCTCGATTTTCTTTCTGCCCCGGTGCCTCTAGTCCTCTCCACTACACACACACACACACACACACACACACACACACACACGCTGGTGGCAGCCTCCTCCCATCCTAAACGCAAACCCACTTCCTTTGCCGGTTGCTGTACTTGGGCGAAGTCAATGCTACATCAAACTAGGCTAGGCTGAGAGGACTAGAAAGTGGATTTAGGAGACAATGCTGCCCCAGCAGGAAAGGCTCTGATTTGGCGTTCTGTTGATTTAACAGCTCAAAAACGAAAAAATAAAAAATAAAAAAAATAAATAATAATAATAATAATAATAAGCGATTTTGTAGCCTTTTGCACTGGAGCTGGGCCCCTTGAGTCACAATTCTTTGAGGAGAACTATTCTCTTAAGTTCATTATATGTTATAAAAATGAAAATGGATATAATTTTCTCCCCTCCCCCAGCCAAGGTAGTTCAAGACTAAACCTTTGTTTCTTAATAACTGAGTAGGTGAAAGTTTTTTCCCCTTGGGAATCGATTCTTTCTTTACTTCCGTCTTTTCCTGGATAGTTATGGAAAGTAAAATTCAAATAAAAGCTGGCATATCTGTATAAGATGTTCTTCCAAAATGCTTGAATCTTCACAGGAAAATTTGCAGACATTCTCTTAGAGGCAGTTTATACTGTTTTCTTTCTGAATCCTTTTTTTTTTTTTTTCAAGTGCTGTATATTTCTGCTCAATTTTGTTTTTCCAAGAGTTCACACTTCCTCTTCTAAATTCCCCATGTAAGGTCAAAGTCCTCTGTGAAATAAACATTTCCACAGCAACCCAGTGATGTCACAAACCTGGGCTCATGTTTCCAAAAGGGAAATAAAGCATGAAGAAGCCTCCCTCCAGAAAGACAGCTCCTTTTTTTCTTGCAAATAGAATGGTCCCTGAGTTTCTGAGTTTATATAGCACATTTCTGGCTAAGTACCTGTTTTCTTTTTCTGAGATTGACTTATTATGAGATTGACTTTCTGAGGTATGTACAATGACCTTTAAAAAAAAAAAATAGGTCAACATTCTGTCTTCCGAGTCCATGAAGAATGACATTTCAAATCAGTGGTCCCTGGATGTATTGACCACTACAGCTTTTAGTAATAAGAGAGAGGATTATTTAAAAAAAATAAATAAACTGTTGTTTGAGAGAACATTAAGAGATGAAATTTAATGTAACTTCAGAATCAAGTAATGATAACTGATTGAGCTTGAAAAATGCCGTCATTTTTTTAAAGTATTAGACTACAGGAATTGGATTCATTTATCAAAATTAATGCTGATCTCACCCACATGGACTAGAGGGGCATCTCCCCTGTTGGTCCTTCCTTGGTGTCCTGAGTCTTCCAGCTGAGAAAGAGGGACTACCATGTTGCCACCATTTCAATCTCCCTGAGATGCCACATATTAAATACAAAGGAACTAGACACTACAAAGTTAGGCCCAAAGCCCAGGGCTTCTTAACTGAATAAAGTAGTTTAGCCCAAGTTAATATTTAGTCCTGCTTCCCTGATTTCAGCCACAGTTCCCCCTTCTAAGCCAGTGGGAATTACTTCAGGCTCTGCTATCATGGCTCCTACTTCTTGAATGAGTAGATGTATTTATCACAAAAACGCTGGAGGAAGCAGGATTCTTTGTCCCCATTCTACAGATGAAGAAATGAGCTCAGAGATGTACTGGGTCACCTAGCAATGAGATGGAAGGACTCAAAGCCCAGATTTGTGAGCCTACTTGCTTCTCCCTTCCAGGTGCATTCCTGCACTGCCATTTCCCATGCTCAAGCCCACAAATGAAGGCAGTGGTTCTGAGCCTCCCAGTGCCCCAAAATGATGACAAGGGGACATTTGTCCTGAGCCCTGTTCGATATTTGGGGAAGAGCTATTTGATTAAATGGTTGGGTTTTGTTTTCTGAAGCAGGATCTTACTCTATATCCCAGGATGACCTAAAACTCACTATGTAGTCCAGGCTGGCCTCCAACTCATAGCAACCCTCCTGTCTCAGCCCTTGTCACCTATTGGGATTATACATGTGAGCCACCACACTTGTCTTTATTTTTGTTTTATAGATGAAGAAATTGAGTCTCAAAGGAAGACCCTCAAATTCCTCTACTACCTAACAGCTATAAATAGCACAGCTGAGTCTTGAAAATAAGACTTTTGGCTTGATACTTCTCTTTCTCTGAAAGCTGGTCTCTCCAGTTGCCAAACACAGGGAAACACACAGATTCATCAGTCGGGTCCAGAGCCCGCAGAGGCATCTAGGGAGGAAAAGGGAAACACAGGTGACAAGAACAAGAACTTTCTTGGCATACACACAGGGGAACATTTGCATAAATGAAGTCTGGCTTCTAGCCATAAACATTTGGCTCCCCTCAAACCTCTAGCACTTGACTTTTTAACAGGGACACCCCCAAAGAAGGCCGCCAGAGTAGGTTTCTGATGAAATGTCTCCTTCTCCATCCTGCTTCCGAGGCAGCCCCATCATCCTGAAAGAATTCTGCCTTGCTCAGTAGGTGTGCTCACCTGGTGAGAGCACAGTAACCTGGAAGTTTGTTTGCTAGCTCCCAGCAACATGAAAACAAGCCATCTTCCCCTCTACCCCCACTGGGGCCAGAACAGATGGAGCCAGGCCCTTGGGAAGCCCAGGGAGCTGCCAGCTCATTGAGAAACGACTGCTCCAGCCACCTTGCCAACTCCTCACTGTGCAGGAGGCAGACGTCTGAAGATGGAAACCCCAAACAGCAAGCCTTTTAATTTCCAGATTCACAGTGTTGCGTCTCCCAAACAAACCAAACTTTTCTTCTACATGTCTTCCTCTACCAATACTGCCAAGTCACAAGTTGTGATGCTGACAATGCATGATATACTGATTTGCTATCATCCCATTGATGAGAACTTCATCTTTATCCATAAACACTTTCCCCCTAAGAACTAAATTTTGTAGTAATCTCTTGTTGGGAATTGGTTAATAGTCCAGATGATGCTGGGACAGTTTCCTTGTTTATAAATGTGGTGCATTAACACTCTCATACCACTAGGGTGCCATTTAGTGATTGGCTGCTCCCCTCTGCAGATGCAAGAGGCCAAATTCTTATAGATGTGGATTAAAAAAAATGATCATTTTGATGAAAACTGCAGATGGGAAGCAGATGTATACACAGAGGAAGTAGATTTCATCGTCTCTCTCCTTTATTAAAATCAAGTCTGCTGGTTCTCTCTCTCTCTCTCTCTCTCTCTCTCTCTCTCTCTCTCTCTCTCCCCCTCTCTCAACCTCTCCCCCCACCCCCTCTGTGTGTGCAATGCCTTCAGAGCCAACCATGAATTCAGCTATAAGTGGCACAGCTAGGTCTGAACCAAAGCGTTCTGGTCCACCATAGTATTCCAAGCAAAGTAAAAAGCAATTTTTTCCTGCCTTCAAGAAGTTTACAATCTCAACAAATGATTGACCTACTATGTGTTCATTGCTGATTTTCATTTCTAGTGGTTTAAGTATTTATATCTTATCAACATTGTAATTACCCTGGGGAAAGATTCAGGGTGTATAGTTGAATAAGATGGTTTAGGATTTTCTGTGTAATATACACACATACACATACACATACACAAAAAAAGTCAACAAATTTTTTAAATGTATTATATTTGAGGAGGAAGCATGGAAATTTATGTCATGTTAATTAGTAGAGGTGATAAACATTACCATTGAAATCTACCCGATGACTTTATAGACATACACAGGCTCCAAGGATCCAAGTGCAACCAATTATGACTAGTAATAATTAGATACATGCAGATTAGAGATGCATGTGCCAACATCTCAGTGCTAGTTGCACAAACAATGAGTCTTTCTGCAAGGAACAATATATTCTAAAATTAATTTTTAAAGGTTAAAAACTCATTCAATTTTATGTCTTACTGGGCTTATACTGAGTTCAATATTGTATAACTGTATCAATTCAACTGTGAACCTAGAAACTTACAGCCACTTGTGAAAGAGATGTACTCTTGCTCTGGAGTGTGTTACTGAATATGTTAAAGCTGTAATGAAATGCTTCTTCTAATCATGTAGTTATTAAAAATTTTAAAAAAAAAAAAGAAAGATATGGAAAGGTGAAGAGGGCAGAAAAAAATTGTGTAACAAAACATGGAGATATCCTTGAGTGGACAGGAAAAAGGAAATAGCACTTAAGGCAGAAAGAAAGCAAGGCAAAAATTAAACTCAAAATAGCTATGGCAGTAATAATAATGCTGATTGAATGCTTATAATGTCTGTTGTAGCAAAGAAATACTAAATAACCTACCCAAGTCACCCAGCTACAATGTGATAAGAATTGAAATCAAATTTTGTGACTGTGCTGGAGTT